CCCCCCTCCCCTCCCCAGTCGACATTCTTTATTTTTATGGATATTATGGATACTTCTAAAACATAAAATGGTTATGGTCTTCTGTGAGTGCGTGCTCAAGACGTGAGTTTGTTTATCACCTGAGGAAGTTACTATATCAGAAGTGACGATTTTCTGGATCAATCCGGAAATCCGAATTTCTGAAATTGTGTGGATTTTGCCTGACTTCGGACAGATCAACTAAAATCAGTCTTGATGCAAGATGTATTAAGCAGCTTGACTCGTAAATTTTGAGTCCCCACATTCATGTTTTTGAGGAATTTTTAAAAATTCAGGGTTTGTTTTTGTTGCCAGTTGGCACGTCTGTTTTATAGAATATGTCTGCGGGCTGGTTAGCAGTATCCCACTCAGTTTAGGTTTACCCTGACAGGGTCAAAATTATGTTTACTGGGATATAAACAGGAACAATCATAAAGCCAAAAGGTGCACAAGCTTCATCTGCTGGTTGTAGTTATACAATTGAAACTCAACTTCTTACCTCTATGCTTTTTTTTTTTTTTTATATCCTGCATTCTGCTTTTTTTTCTTTTTGGTGCCACATGTTGATCAGTTAGTTATGCAAATGTATGATCTCCAGACTTATTTAATTCAGCAGTATTTCCCCACCCAGTGTAGAAGGATCCTACTTTTTGTATCAAGTGAGTTATTTTTTAAAAATAAAAGGATTAATTACGTACTTATGAACTTGTTCATCTCTGTTTGCTTTTCATATTTGACCCTGTGCCAGAACCTGAGCATTTTACTACGTGTGATGCAGTATTGTCTTGCCCCCTTTATGAAAATCATATTTTTATATCTCTTCGTTACATATATGTGTTGTTAATATGCTGCAGTAGCAGAACAGGCAAGAGAGATTTGTTTTACGTATTATTTATATTTTTAAAATGATGAAATGTAACGATTTTGCTGCTACTTTTGCACGTTTCAGTATGTTGGCTGAAAACAGCAATTTTTTTCAAACGCACATGTCCGTATGGAGTCTTCAAAACTTTAGTGGTACTGAGTGTAAGTTTAAATCCATCATATTTTAGGCAAACAAGTAAATGTTTCGTCAGGCTTCACAATTTTCATCAGCTGTGATTTTTAAATATATCTGATACGCATAACTGTTGTCACCATACAAGATGGTACATTTTGATAAACTCGATTACTTTGGCGTAAATCGCGCTAGTGGTGTTCTCTTTCAGACAAAGGGAGCAACCTTTGTACAATGAGGTCATTTCCAGATCGATATTTTACGACCATGAATAAAACCCAAATATGGTGTCATCATGTTATAATCGTCAGATGACCAATCAAAAGTGCACTAGCTCGAGACTACTATTTACAACCTGGACTTGTAAACAAAGCTCCTGTCAGCTGGCTTGCTTATTTACCCCAGCTTTTGAACAATTGAGAAAGATGAAAAGTGAAAATATTTTCTATGTCATCAGCGTTATGCGCATCAGGTGTTTGGTGGTTATCTTTGTGTAGTGAGTGATGGATTGCAAAGTGCAGCTTGATGTGGAATTCCTGAAAGGGAGTAATACTTACTTCTTTACCTCTGTGACATCGCTACACTAGAATGATAAAGTTCTATCTTTTCGATACCTAGTTTTGAGAAATTTGACATCAGTTATTTTTAGTTTCACAATGTGTCCAACTTTTTCTAATGCAAGTCTTTGAATATCTTGATAATGACTGAATAATCTATCGATTTTGATGGAGCAGATAAAACATTTGTGAGGCAGTGTGGTGGAATCAGGCGCTCGTCAATTTCTGGGCATGTAGAGTTATTGGTATCATCTTAAAGCTTGTTCACCTGTCTTTATTTGGATGAAAAAAATATCCATTTATCTTGAATACAAGTCGATATATTTTCAATTGAAGGAGGTGGGGGTCACCTGTTTTCAGAGGTAAAATTAGTGAGAAAATGGCGCCAAAGATTAGTTATTTCCTTAGCTTAAGAGTCTGTGGTAACTGAAAATTTACATTTTTTGTGCCTTTAATCAACGTTTTTCAGAAAAATCCACACTGAAATGAGTTCTTTAATGGGCATGAAAGGTGTTGAGACAAAAACCACAAATTTAATAAACATTCATCACAAACCTGCGGAAAAATGCAGGTTTCTTCACTTTGATTATTTTGACGAGAGCCTGATTCCACCACGCTGCCTCACATTTGGTTCCTGACCTCATGGTCTGAGTAACTCAAAAGGGCCAAAAATGTCAGATCGAACTTTTTAATTCTAAGGTAGTGACATGTTTAGGAGTGCCAGGTTCTGGCAAAGGCTCATTTATTTGTTTGTCTATTACCATGCATCTAATGGATGGTGAATGGACGTATACCATGCCTAGATCACAAGCTTTGTGGGTGGTTGGAGGATGCCATGTTATTGTAGGTCTCAAGTTTTCTTTTTTCTGTCTAAGTGATGCCATGGATGGTTGGCGGGTGCTCTAGTGTGGTTTGCTCCTTCTTTCTCATCGAACGTCTATCGTCTTTATCTCTTCTTCTTTTCTTTATATGTTACTCTCAAGTAAATCTTCTGATCTGCGTAAAGCTCTTGATGAAATGAAAAGTAAAGACTCATTTGATGACCATGTCAGGACCTATTGAAGACCATTGTCAGAAGGAGTATTGGACAATCTTTTGTATGTGCAACGGGATGTTTGTTTGCTTGTGTACAAAATGTACTGTTATGTATGTCTTTTTAATGACTTTTTTTGTGTGTGTGTGTGTGTTTACTTTGCTTTTATTGAAAGAATTGCATTGATATTGGTCACAATTTTGATACATTTTGTTGTAGTCACACGAAAATTTAATTTGCTTTTGCTTTTTTGCCCATTTTTCTGAATTTGTATTATGTTGTCAGATTTGTTTGTTGTTGAAGCTACAAGAGATGTAAGGAAAAACAACCCCTATAGTGTAGTGTAAAACGGGTGGGGGAAGGGAGAGGGGGAGTGGCTGTGGACCTCTGAGATCAAATCTTTTGATTCATTAAAATGTCAGCTGAAGTCGTTTCTGTTTTTAAATTAACCAGATGAATATTTTGAGGGATTTTCTTTTAGTCAAAACTCAACATTTTATGTTACTATTGTACTGCATAGTAAAGCGTTCAGAGCCTGTGTACTTTAATCGGGGTTGAGCGCTATATAAATGTCATTTATTATTTTGTGACCTCTGAAGTACTTTTCTCATCACCCTCTCCATTACTGTACACAGGGATTTTTTGCATGCTCTTTTTTTCACATATGTCCCATTCCGTTTTTTGCGAATGTTTTGAATTCGTAACTTAGGTAGCCCTGTATCATGTATTTTGTCTGACATACTCCCAGATGCATAGTAGTATACAGCCATCTCATTTTTTTAGTGCAGTTGAACTCCAATATGGTGCAGTGCAGAAAACAGGTTTAAGGAAAACACCGCTGATGTATTTTATACATCTGGATCCTGTTGTGTACATTTTACCTGCATAGTTAGAAGATGAATAAGAAACATACGGACTGCAAAAGACAAAGTATTGGGGTATCACATGTAACACTTAAATAATGAAATAATTCTCAAACATTTGGCGAAGGACTTGAATTTGGAGATTTGTTTCAGAAATCGTGAAAATCGCGAATTCATGACGCGTGCGCAAATAAAATGGGAATACAGAATTTCTCCAGTTCAGGATGGAGCAAGCAAACTATCAGTTACTGTTTTCAGCTGGTGTTATTGTCTGTGAGGAAAGAGAATTGTACAGAAAACAGTTTGCTATCATGTGTGGAGGAAATGTGCTGATTGAGCGCAGCTTTAGTGTCATAACCGTTTCTGTGAGTGCCATAAACAGCCCCAGCTTGAGTGTGTTCACTCTTCATCATTTTTGCAGAATTTTTCAGTTTCTACCAGTTTTTCCAGCTTTTTAGACACCGTGCTTGGGTATGGTGCCGCTGATGACTCAGATTCAAATTTTCTTCCTCAGACTTCAGTTGTTTCGGGAATTTTTTGGGCTCTCTGCAGTCTTGACTCCTTCTTATCAGTGATGGATATAAAACTCTGACGTCCTGTCGATTTAATAATCTTATAGAACTGGAAGAGGAGTTAAACTTATATAATGTTCTTATTTATTGCATTTTTGTGGATTTCTTGATCCGTAAAAATGCCCGAGTTCTGAGTGAAAAAACCTTTTGAGGAAATGTAAATTTTATTTCCTCTTTTATGCTGAATTATGAGGATATGGTGACTGTTGGTGTTAGATCAGATTGTTAATGACTGGCCTAAGAGCATAAAGTACATATAACATGCTTAACTTCAGAAATTTATGTATACATTAACTTCAAAGTCAAAGCTTTGCTTTTTATATTATTCCGGTACGTCCTGTCGTGTGCCTTTTGTACTTTGAGGAGTTTCTCTTGGGGTTTGTGTGTGTTGTTCTATAGTTTTTTGCCTGGAAAGTCTTTCATGTATTATGTTATGGGAGAGGCAGAGATAGACAGTGAGAGAAAGAGAGAGAGAGAGAGAGAGAAAAGAAAGGGGGGAGAGAGTTTGTATACATGTATTTGTGTGAGAAAGACCCAGGAAGGGGGAGTGTTGGTGTCAAATGGTAAGAAAGGGAAAAGTTGGGAAGAAAAAGTAGAGAGGGAGAGACAGCATGAAGTCCTATTGTGTGAAGTTTCTTTTCACGATTGAAAAACTATTGAGTGCTTACACTTCGTCAAATTGTAGTATGCTTGGGCCAATTTATTTTTATTATTACTGTCATTACTGATACTTCATATTGTATTATTATTATTAATGTTATTTAGTACATAGTCGAGAATTCCTGTATGTCAATACTCATTATTTGCTTTGTATGCAAAGCATTTATTTTCTGTAAGAAAAGCTTAATAAT